TATATTTTAATAACTAATATATATTATCCTAAAAGGATAATTGGTGCATAACCAAGTTAAATAGATTAAGAAATAAATGTTTACATTAAACAAAAATTTTGCCCCTTGCGAACTCAAATTCTCATCATCAAAAGGTTTAAATCACTTTGCAAATGTAATAGATTGCATTTTACAAGCATAAAGAGTTTAAATTGCAACATTATATGCACAAGGAGTTCTCCTTGGATAAAGAGTGCAAGTTTAATTTGTTAACATATATAAAACCATTGCATTAAAGAAGCAAAATCTTATCAACTCGTGATTTAAAGTTAGAGACGTTGAAAGTGTTGTATATGTATAGATATTTATAACATACATTCTTTCACACATGCACCATTTTTGAAAAGTGCTTATAACTCACAAAGTAACGTAAAGGGAAAAATACAAAAAGACGACATATGTAGCGTTTAAAAGTTATTTCTCTCAAAGGTACATAGATGCTATATGTTGTTCATGTTACACAAAGGGCGTAATAATTTAAGATGAGTGAAGTATAAAACAAGAAACTACGTCCTATATTTCAACATGAGAAATCAAAAGAATTCAAATGTATGAATGCTGCCTCCAAAAGCATCTGATCCCAGATTCACATTCAGTTTCTCAACCTGAAACAAGTGATCTTTTCTAAGCTAGATTTTGGACGCCATAGCATAAGAACAGGACCAGTTCAAAGGCACTGCAATTTTGATCCTTCAGACCCGACCCAAATTTAAAGTTGCATAAACAGGTTACATTCTCCATCACAGCACCTAAACATCAGATGATTCGATCAGATAAGCATGACAATTATATCAGATAAAAATGTTAATTATACGAACTTACGCACAAGAAACGTCAATGTCCAGATGGGGAAACAGGGAGTTTGAAGGCATAAAAATCTCATAGGCATGGTTTATATCGTTTGAGATGCTCGTCATGCAGGACATCCTTAAGGTGAAAAACATTACACAAAAAATAAGGGCGCGGTTGGTTTCCATTTTCATTTTCAAAACGATTTTTAGTTTTTCCCGAAAACGGCCCGTTCTCCGCGTTTTGAGCGTTTTCGACATTTATAACTGAAAACGCTAAAAACGAAAAAAAATCGTTTTGCGTTTTCAATTATAAATTTTAACTCGTTTTTTAAAACGACGGACCAAACGCTTTTTCCGCGTTTTCGAAAACGAAAAATGGGCCGAAAACGGCAAACCAACTACGACCTAAGTTTTTATAATTTCAAACTCACGTATTAAAAGAATATATTTAAATTTAAATAATGGTGGTCTGAGATCAATCATTAATCAATTTCCCGATAAGGAATTTAATTTCTTCCTACCAACATTCTAAAATCATGATAGATAAGCCAATCCTTTTCCCTCTTTTATTTGTAAATCAGTAATCTAGCATCCTGGATTTGTATCCTTAAGGGTCACAAATAGCAATTTTCTTAGTCCCAACCTTGAAAGTTGAATATCTATTGCCAAAAGCACATGAAATTATGAGAAATACAGTCAACTAATTTCTACAGACCAAATATACTAAGGACCGGTTTGGCATAGCTTTTACTTTTGCTTCTTGTAAAAGAACTTTTGAAGGAAGCTACCATAATTTTTGTTTGAAAACTAACATTTAAAAGCACTTCCTATTCCAGAGGTGCTCTTAGACCATAATGCACCAGCTTTCTCTGAAAGCTCTTAACTATCAAAAACACTTCAACAAAATTAGCCAAATGGATCCAAAAGCAACTTTTGGGTCTCAAAGGCTCCTTTGGCTTTTCAAAAGTCATGTCAAATGGACCCTAAAGCATCTTGCCTTTTATTTCTTAGCAAAGACAATCTTATGGAACTAGATTAAGCATTGGACAAGCATGCTAAGAAATCAAATGCAATCATATAAGCCACTATTCTCTGTCACATCAAAGCATGAAAATCCACCTTCTCACTTAGTCACCAGGATGCTGATATGTATGGTTACGGGCACAAAGAATAGATAGTATGACTGTGTGTGAGACAGACAGCCGAGCCAAAAGGCCAAAATAATACCTCTGGGACTGGAATCAATCCATTTAGACCCCTTGCATTGGCTTTCTGTGAGGCTTTGGGGCTGAATCAAAACAAATACAGTCATCACTTCACATGCCAGCAATTAAATTAATAGAATGAAGATATAAAAAATTAGAATTGACAGTATACAAGCATGTGATGTATGGAGTTGATATCCTAGAAAAACATAAAGTTGCAGAAGTGCACAAGTCTAGCCTAACACCGGATAACAGATACAGCATGTGAATGGATCCAAATCCTCTATAATATTTCTATACAACAAAAGAAGATTTTAGTTTGAACATACATCCTCAGTTATAAGGACAAAATACTTTGGATGAGACCGGAATTTTACGATCTGTAACTTTATTGGACCGGAAGGATGACAACTTCTAAGATTGGCATCAAATTATAAAAAATTCACCAACTTTATTGATGATGTTAGGCATTTAATAAGGTTTTAGGTTATTTAAACGTGTTCATTAAATATTAAGAAGCCAGATCAAGCAGGATGTATACATTTCAGATGGCATGTGTTATTGATAGGTTAAACAAGATGGGAATGCTTGTGATCCTAATCCAATAAGAACATTAAGGTTCTAGATTGTTCACCAAAGAAATGCCTTTGCAATTGATTAATAAATAAACTCCTGAAGTGATTCTAGGGAGATCATACATTGAATTTTCCTTTTTGTGTTACAACCTTCCCATTTTAAGCAAAAATCTGTAAATGTAAAAATGTTAAATTGCAGGGACAACAACTAGAACTAATATACATACCATTGGGATTTCCTTGTTCATAGAAGCTTCTTAAAAGATTGACTGCTTCTGATGCCATTACTCCTCCAGTACACTTGAAACCCTTTTTCGAAACTCCACTGTCAAAAAGTTGAAAATTACAAGAAAGAAACTAATTAGAACATATATTCCAACCATTAATCGAAACCAAAATTTAGAGGGGTAATTATCAAAAAACCGGAAAATAAAGACTCTTTTGTTGTGACCCTTCATTATTACTCTAACTAGATCCCAGGATAAGCCAAACATTTGAATTTTAATAGCCAGTTATGTCCTGTGCTCTTAGTGATTATGCAATATTATGAAAAAATAACAAATGCAGTTGCAACATTTATGGAGAGACCGGTAGTTTAGCACCATAAATTGCATACCAACTTAGAGTCTTAGAAATTAGCAAGAACACCATCCCTGGATGAAGTATCTCATAAGGAAGTGCGAGAAATTTAAACTAAATAAAGTATATCGCTTTTCTTTATGGAGAGAGAGTAATGCAGAAGCAAAAATTGCATAGGAACTCAAACGTTAGAGAGAGCCTCCAGCCCAATTAACCAATTTTTATTGGATCCAGTTATCCAATCTTTACTTCCATACATAATTGAAAGACCCGCATATGAAAATAGAAGACCGATTAATGTTAAGAATTGATATACGTAATTTTTCTGAACCACCCGATCCAAAAGCTTAATCTAATGGAGCAGAAGTAAATTTATTTTATTTAAACTCTTCAACACAATCCCTTACATGCATGCTCCTTTTTCATCAAATGATGTATAAGTGTTCAATTTTTATAAACAGGAGGCGGGGACACTCAACCCAGAACTTCATTTATTGTATAATACAACCTCGAAGTAGAGCGATTATTAAACTTGTAGCAAAAAGACGAGTTTCCCACGACCAAAAATCAGAACCTACTGAAGAGGTTGCTTCATATTTTCTATAACAGACACGAATAAGAAGGTGCACTAGACCTTAAAGCAAATTCGACCACATTATAAGCCCTGGTTGCATCTGTTCCCACCCACATGCTAAGCTTAAACTATTTGTTTTCCAAGTTTTTGGCCACATACCATGTGTACCACTATAATACTATTCAATCATGACTTAAAGACTAAAAGAGGAAAGGGGAATACATTGAGCTCTCCTATAACCACAATGATTTCAGACTGCATAGTATACGAAAGAGACAGTAAAGCTTATCAACAAGTATTGCCCATAAAATACCAGGAATCACAAGTATTATATAATCCAACACGTATGTCCAAAAATATACTATGACAAATAGCTTTTACAGGTTAATGCTTTTCTAGAAATGAAAAGAGGTTAGAATCAAACCTATTGAGATTTTCAGAGCTATTCGTATGCAAGGACAAAATTGACCCACACCCTCCAAATTTATCATTTGCACAGCCGTAATATACTTCTTTTATGCCTATATGAAGATCATGACGTTGCCCAAAGTTAAAATAACTATTAAATGTAACATTTATTATGCAAATAAACTTCTTTGAGCATACCAATTATAGATAAAGCTGCTGCACACATTATACATGGTTCACATGTAACATAAAGAGTGCATCTTGAGAATTTCGAAGCAACTTCTTCCTTTGAAAGTTCATCTTTCTGCCACTGCTCAAGTAGCATATCAATTGCTTCCATCTCTGCATGTCTGGTAGCCTGAACTTATAAAATATAAGTAAATCAAACCCCAGATCTTTCGCGTGTAGAAGGAAAATGTGAACGCCAGAATGTTTGATAACCAGAAACGGACAAAGAAGAAAGAGAGAAAAAGTTCAAATAAACATAAGGAAAATGCAACAAATAGAATGAGCAAGTAGAAACTAAGTTACTATCAGGAATTGATCCAAAAAGTTAAAAATGCTTTTTCAACATTGTAATAGTAGAACCGAGAAAAGCACATCAAGAAATGTTTTGCCAATATTTTATTCAAACACATCAAATTCTCAAATCAAACAGTGATTCCCTTAAATCAGTAGTGCAGGGAAGAGTGACTAGCATAGCATAAAAAAGGGGGAGCACAGGCATCCCCAGCTCCACAACCACGTTATTTACATAGGTAGCATATTCTGAAAAGAAATGCAATAGGGTTCTATTTTCCATCTCAAAATAGTGATGTATTAAAAATAAAAAAATAAAATTACACACACGCAAGGAAGCAAACCTCATCAGTCATGAAAATGGGTCTAATGCAAATGTAGGAAAACACCCCCAAGTATCAAATCTTGGCACCTAAAAACAGTTTTTAATGCTTATCTCCAATTGTACAAAATTCAATAAATACCATCATGACAAAAAGTAGTTTCAATCTATTTCAGCCCCCGTTTGGTTTTGATTTTTCACTCCTAGAAAATTAATTTTTTGACCGTTACTTCCATAAGCCAGCCGTCATTTTTGCCTTCTTCACTCATAGGTGGGACCCAACGGTCAAAAAATTGATTCTCAAAATCACTACCAAACAGGCCCTATTTGATCATAAAAATTCTTACCCCAAGATGATAGTTTTGGTGATATCAGATAGTACCGATAACATGGGCAAAGACAGAAACTTGTTATAGGAGGGCCAAAAGACAAGGAAATGAACTCTAATGTAAACTCACAAAGAAACCCATAAAAATCTCAAGAACCGAGAAGTTGGCAAACTTGTGGAGACAAGAGAAAAGCAGATAATGAACGTACATTTCTTGTCTCAGTGGTTCGATTTCTCCCTGAAGCAATGACTGCATGATCCTCGACAATAACACAACTGACCAAATGAACATGGAAAGTGAATGAGAACACAGGTCTAAACGTTCATCTATCAATCTTGTTTAAAAATTGAAATCCAGGTCTCATCAATCAATTCTAACTGCAGAGGGCTGATTGGAGATCCTAAAAGATTTTATACCTTATAGATTTAAATTTAAAGCATGTAATTGCACCTTAAAATAGGCACTAATTTATCCACATGCATGATGCATCAATGAACATGTCATACTGTAAAAGATATTAACGACATTCACTCGCAAAATAAAAAATGTATGTAATTAAAAACAACAAGGAAAAAGTAGAAAGACAAGCTTACCCAACAGGTACTTCAAGGCTGTCCAAGGCAAGCTTTGCCTGGCAGAAAATAAGTAGGCATTAGAAAATAACAGAATTTCAGACATAACTAAATAATTATTGCATCTTACAAAAATGATACAAAATTACATCAGCAATGACCGTTAGAATTACGACACTTGAAGAATGTGCAACCTCAGAGCTAAGAATTTGCAACCTATATTACATCATATATTGAGATTCCCTTTTGCAATTTTGCTTTCATATTAACCAACTCCATTTCCAATGCCTAGTATCACGGATCCTCATTTTTAGTTTGCAGTATAGTCAAAACCTCAGATTATCATTGATAAGAACTTCAGATATACATCTACTATAAACAAATAGAACAGAAACTTGGAAAAAGTTCAAAGTTGTAAACTAAAAGTTTTGAATTTTATGAAAATTGGGTAAGAGAAGAAACCCACAAACTTGGTGCCAAACATCAATATGCCAAAGCAAGAATAAGATGAATAAGTTAGGTCTAACACCTGCTCTATAGCAAGGTTCATAAACAATGTAGTATCTTCCTCTGTCTCTACCATCTGCATAAAACAAGGACAAAAGAAATAACAAACATCAAAAATCATATTTGTCATACTTTTTCTTGTTTACAGAATTGAATTCTCACAAGCATTTTCAAGAACATATCAAAAGCTCCAAACTTTGTATTACACAGCAACAAGTTCTTGACCCAATTCTCCTGCCTACGGAACTTATATGATATGCACTCATGACAAAATTACGTATATGCAAGACGTTACGGACCCACATAAGAAATAGAAAGTCAAATATGATGGTTTGATATGATAGATAACGATCATATTTTTCATTTTTGTGGCCAAAGAATGGGAATCAAACCGAGGCTATACAAAAGATTTATATTATAAAATAACAAAACCAACATATTTCAAACAATTAGTTGAATACTATTTGCCTTACTGTTTTAGAGGCAAAAACATTAATTAAGACAATCTAGCAGCTCAACCATTTCTTTCTCTATTGATAATATAGCCAATCTATTCAATCTTTCTTCTGACATTGTTGATCGGAGGTAAATCTTGATCAACTTCAATTTCGAAAAACTTCTTTCTGCAGATGCAACTATAATCGGTGTGGTTAAAAAAAATTTGTAAGCAATATAAGTATTTGGGAAACAAACATTCCACGTCTTCAAATATTGTAGCAGTTCAATTACTCGTGTTGCTTCACTTTGTATATAACACCTCAAGACTTGTAACTTCGAATATAAATCATCTCCACTGATATCCAAACACCCACTATATTCTAGATATTTCTCAAGATTCATACAAGAGTTCAACAAATTTAAATAAGTTGCACCCCTTTACCTCTTCAAATTAAACAAAAATTCAAATGTGACATCATATTGTTTGAATTGTTCAAATCAAATCCTTAGAGAAGATAGAGCTCGATCAATTATAAAAATTAAATATTCAACTCTAAAAGATTCTTCTACTGATTGCTTTATCTCATCACTCCCACTTTCATCAAATTGCTTTTTTCTTCGAATTATGCATTTTTCTATAAATACAACTTCAATTTCCATTTCACTTGCCTTTTTTGTCGCTTCATCCATGGTAATAGTAAATCCAATTTCTCTATAATCTTTAAAAAATGAAACAAGTCCTTGCAAGAGGTCGATAGCATGATCAATATCCATGATTTCGATTTTAAGAAATCTACTCACAATATTGACAATGTACAACAACCAGTACCAAATTACAATGCCAAGCAAGAACTCAAATTCTCAAGTTCATATGTTGTTTACAACTTGGTTTCACTATTTACTTTAGAATCTTCGTTACTTTCTGCCAAATCAAGTAAAACATCCTATTTGTGAAGTTTGCTCCATTATAGGTCTCACACTCTCAACATGACTTTCCCAACATGTTTGACACAATGGCTTTACTGTCAAACCTTGTACATTATCTTTGAAAATCTTTCATCGCTTGGTAGAAGAAGAGAACAATAGGTACATGCGTTGTATCACTCCAAAGAAGGATGCAGCTTTAGAACAACAATTCACCATGTCACATAATGCTATATTCAGATTAAGAGCGCCACATTAAGTATAGAGAGCTTGGGGATTCATTTCAAGTACTCTTCTGTGCACACTTTTTTGCTTCTCGCTCATGTTAGAACCGTTATCATGCCCTTACCCTCTTATATCATCAATATCAAGATCAAGTTTGATCAAAACCTTTTGAATCTCAGTTGCAAGTCCAAGTCCTGTTGTGTCATCTACCTCAGAAAATTCAAGCCAATATTCTTCAACTATAGGTAAGTTTGCTGAATCATCTACACATTGTCCTCTTAAGACATTTGCTCCTTATGACTTACATCTGGAGTACAATCAAGTATAATTGTGAAATATTTTGCATGTTTAAATTTCTTGACAATTGAACTTCTCACCTCATTGGCCAACAACTGTATCAAACCATTTTGAATTTTTATTTTTTTTGTCAAGATACGTATATTGAATCTCTCGTGCTTTAGCCTACCAAATATGCTCTTGCATTACTAGATCAAACTCACTAACCATTTCCACCATTTGTAAAAACAAGTCATTGTTCTGAACATGTAGAAACGAGATGTCATCAACTCTTTCAGACCCATTTTCAACTAAATAATCCCTCATTCTTTGATCAACGATTTTTCAATTCTCAAGATCATCCAAATTTAGAGAAAAGCAACCCTCTTCTTCCTTATCGTCTACTTCATTAACACAAGCAAGTTTCATCACTTCTTCTTCCTTATCATCTACTTCATTAACATAAGCAGGTTGACTCATTTCTTCTTCCCTATTATCTACTTTATTAACACGGACAAATTGAATCTCTACTTCGTCCTCATTCAACTCAGTCACATTGTTGATTTTAAAGTAATTGTCAATATTCCCTACTTGATTTTGAGTTAATGCAATTTCATTTCGTTTCATTTTTCTCTTTTGAGCACCAGAATCATATTTAGAAGACATGGTGTATGAGTCAATAGCTAATGTCCAATGATTAACCTAAAAGGCAATTATAAAATATATCAATCCTCTCACCATTAAAGTTTTTAATATAGTTACCACATGCGCCTGTGCAACTGATCATGCAATAACCAATCATATAAGCCGACGAGACTTCAAACATTTCCAATATATTCAATAACAAGTTAGGGCAAGCCATTACTTGCTGAGAAGTAGAATTTTGATGAAAATTATGGAATCATACCCTTGAGAATTTCATCGTCACAACTCACAAGCCAGAAATAAAAATTTAAAATCAAACACCAATACAAATATACAATTCTATTGCATTAATCTATTCATCATTAATTCAGAATCCTATTGTAAATTGTAATTTCATCAAAAATTCTACAAAATCAGAAATCAAAAATCCTATTTAACTATTTTCAATAATCGGAAAGTAGAAACCAAACCATAGATAAGATCATATTCATAGGAACCCAAAGTAAAAAAAGAAAGACAATTAAAAAACGGAAAAATGTGGTTATGGGAAGTCTTGCTATCAGAGTTTCGTAAAAGGTCTATTGGAAATTCTTTCCATATACACGGTTCCATAGGTTAAATCCATTAAATGCAAGATAAACAACTCATAATTGCTTATTTAAAATTTTAAATTATCATCAAAAATCGTGGTATGCACACATTGAACCGACCAGAATCACGCTTCTCCTTACATGACAACTCAATTAGACAGACAACGAAACAATTCTCAATGGCGGAAAGAGTTGTTTACATATGAAGATTCTTTAACAAATAATCCAAAATCAACTATTTATAGGGAAGAAATCTTTTAGACTTATTTCTATTCAATAACTTCCTAAAATTTTTCTCTTTCACGAATTGTTTCATGTACCATTACCAATTACGATTCTAATTGCAGAAACTACAGCTACTATTTCTATAATAAATATAAAAAGTAAGAGATAAGGCAGAGAGCCAGAGACGGAGAGACCTAAACTGAAGTGGTGTTGTGTGGAAACGGAAGAAGAAAGTACTTCTTAGGCGCGGCCATCCTCCATAGTTCCACTTCCACACTTCCACTTTCCCATTCACTCTTGGAGCTTGGAGCTTGGAGCTGGAGCTGGCGACTGGCCACTCGAGTGAGCAGTTAGGGTTGAAAAAAGGGTCTAAGGAAAGAGTGAAGGGAACGGAAGAAGATGAGAAGAAGCCGTCTGAGGAAATGAGGCCGTCGCTTGGTCGCCGACTTGCCGTCCGGTTGGAGTTGGAGCCGATTGGAGACCAGAGGCGGGGAGAGCAGTCGCAGGAAAAACCGGACGGGAAAAACTAATGAAAAATAGGTTCTTCGTTTTCCTTTTACTTCATTTAATTGAAAATAATAATAATAAAACAAACCAAACTGGGCCATGATGAAGCCCCCTCCAATTTCGGGCCTAAGGCGCAGGCCTCACTGGCATCGCCAGAGGACTGGTTCTGCCCGAATCTGTTAAGTTCACATTTTCGATGTGTTTATTTATGTTTGTATTTGTAGGTATTTGTGTTTTTTTGTCAGTGGATTTTGGTAAATGCGCTTAATTGATTGCCAGTTGTTTGATAATATTCCTCTTAGAAAAGGTAACTGCTTTTCCTGTAATATAAAAGTAGGTGTGTGTGTAATTTCTTGATTTTGTCCTGCAGCATGTGATGATATTGTTAAATGGAGGGGTGCCCATTGCATTTGCTGGGACTGAAGAGCCATCTGCATATGGGAATTGATCTCTATTGAGGGGCTTGGGCCTGGTGTCAATGGCAAGCTCAGCTCAACCATTGCAGAGATTCTTGAAACCAAACTATCTATTGACAGCTCTCGGTTTTATATCAAATTTTATGATGTTCAGGTAACTACTTGACATCTTGTCTCATATGATAAATAGCTTGAGTGTTTGTCAAAGTATTGGAGGGACCGAGAAGTGACCAAAAATTGTGCAGCTTTCTTCTCGACACAAATGTGGTTTTGGAGCTAAAACTACATAGGATTGTCTTTGATCCTCTGTTAGCTCCAGTCTCCAGATAAAATTGCAGGGACATGATAGAAGTCAGATTTATTTCATATAAGCCTAGCCAATGTTCTTACTAGAAAACTTAAATGTTATGATTGGTTTTGGAGTTATTTGATGAAGTTTTTAATAAAAGTTTTAGCAGATTTTGATAAAAATCGACGAAATATGTGGTTGAAAAATTTATCAAAGTTGCGAATTCATTAACGATGAGGTCAAAATTGAGGTTTGAATCAATATTACAAATAATTTCATCGTTTCAAAGTTGAAAGAGTCAAGTAGAAAAAGTCAAGTTGCTTACACTTTTTTATGATTTTTTTGTGTTCAGCGCTCGTTCTTTGGGTTCAATGGCTCCACATTTTGATTGAAGTAACATAGAAAGTGACAGGAGTCCTAAGTATGCGCTCAAACAGGTTTAGAACTAGTTAACCATTGCTTTTCATCTCTAGCGGTTTAGAACTAGTTAACCATTGATGAGAAACGTATCCATCCCCTTTATCTTGGCAACTACTTCGTTTCTAAGCCTTAGTTTCGCAAATCTATAAATAGTTCATAAATACGAATAATGGTAGATCCAACGAAATGTGTAGTTAATATTTAGTAATTATAAATATGTGAAATGCTAGAGCCTTAAAATGGTTTGTTTCCTCTATGTTCAATACAGCCATGTGACTCGGTTTAATTCAGGGTTCTTTTTTTTTCTTGATGACGGGAAAACTCGCAGTCGCTACCCTTCGAGTGCGCACTGGATAAACCCTCGAACTGACACAATAACCTGCAAAAATTCAAAGTTGTTATTTTTGATGGTTGATTGTTTGATTAATTATTTGGTATCATACTAGTATTCATATATTTTAATGGAACTTAGATCCCTGCTTTGGGCCATAGGCTATTCGAAGAGAACAAGAAAACCTGCAGGATATTAGTCTTATAATTTTGAATGATGTTATACAAATAAAGTGTTAAAAAGAGAGTGGAGAAGATTTGATTTTTTATTTAGAATTTAGCTGAAAAAATTTTGGCTCAATCATATCTCACCGCGTTTTGTATACATAAACCATTATGTACATGTAATACAATCGATTAAATTTTTCTCTTAAATCATGTACACAAAAAGGATAATATTATCGATTTATAACAAACGCTAGCTGCAATTTTAACCTAAAATTTACCCCCAAATTTTGGCAGTCAAAACACTTGCAAGCCAAAAAGGAAACGTTGTCAACTTCCTTACCAATTGGTTAATGATATCTTTTGCCATATTTTTCTTCAATCATGGATTTTAAGAGGGAAAATTCCACATTATTTTTGTTCCATACTTTTATTTTGGCTTGATTTTCACTTTTGAAAGATAGGCCAAAAAATTGACCATCTCTTTGTAATTCTCGATCACGACACGGACAAAATAAAAATAAAAATAAAAATATATTGGTGAGCCTTTGACAAACTTTAACAATCTTAATTCTCAAAAGAGAGATTTAACATATAGTCCCTATTTGTTTCCCATTTTAAGTAATAATGCATTTTGAAATAGTTAACTGATGAAAAATGTGAGGTTAAGAAATAAGAAAAAAATAGTTATATATGTAATATTATTTTATTAAAGAATGTGTGATTGAAAAGAAAAATGTATTTTGGAAAAAAAAAAAGGGCATCAAACAAGGGCATAAAATATTTCATGACCTTATCTGACTTGGTTATACATAATTGATCGCGTTGGTCTTCATTTCAACGCCTTTTGTAGTCCAAATTGAATCACAATCATGTTACATGTACATTATGATTGACAACGAGTTTGACACCCTTTCGTGCAGCAACAATTTACACCATTGATTTTAAACACATCCATCGTATCTTGTTCAAATTCTTTCCGCTTAGGGGGACGTCATCATTGATGTCAATCAAAGATTTACATCTAGCTTAATTCATTGAATCAATACATCCATGACTTGTACCAACAAGTCAAAATTCATTTTTCCATTTTCCACGTCACTTCTACTTTTCAACACTTCGAACGACCTAGATCTGATGCCATTTTTGAAAATTAAGGCCAATTCCCCTAAATTTATCTTCGTAGGAAAAATAATTGCTCAAGCTTTCATACTCATTGTTTTTTGCTGGATAAATTAACCACAAAGAGAACAAGTAAACCCACCCGATGCTAACACGTGCAAACCAAAAAGAATACGTTGCCAATTGCCTCACCAAATGATTAATGATATCTTTGGGCATATTTTTCTTCAATCACAAGATTTTACCAAAGAAAATTCCACCTTATTTTTCTCTATCCATACTATTGTGTTGATTTTCGCATGTTTTGAGTAAGCCACCATGGTACTGTTCACAAGCCATTTTTGGTCGATTGAGAAGCCAAATTTGTGGTCGGCTAAACTGTTGATGTTTTTGGGTGGGGAGTCGTCTTTTGGTTTCTAGAATTCATTTCCTACCTTGTTTTCCTCTTCCCTCTTTGTAGGTATGAAAATCTTTTCTTCTTTCATTTTCATGACAGCCATCCTGTCTTGCCTTGCAATTTATTTTCTACCTTGTTTTTCTCTCCCCTCTTTGTAGATCTGAGAATCCAATTGAATTTGTTCGTTTACAAGTACGATCCTTCATATTCATTATTATTAACGCCTGTGGAGCATTTCCGAGTTTAGTGAAGGCTAATTAAAGCTCGATACAGATGCAATCGTAAAAGCATTTATTTTTGTTACCCTTTTAAAGGATTGGATTCTTGCCCAGGGTTTTGTCTTAAAATTAATTTGTATGAGGTTTTTTTCTTGTACGCTACTTCAGTTCAGGGAAGTGATTGATTATTTAAATGTCCTTTTTCTGAATGTGAAGATTTCTTTGTAATTTTTGCTTATGTTTTGAGAACATATTCGAATAAAGCTATTATTTTTTCTTTGCATATTTGGAATTTTTTATATTTATTTCTCATTGCTTCTTTGGGTTTGCATTTATTTTATGATTGAAAGCAAAGTTTCTCATTGCTTGTTTGGGTTTGCATTTGTTTTATGACTGGAAAGCAACACATGCAACTAATTAAAGTGTAGAACCGGGAAAATGAGTGGAAAATTTGGCTGAATTATTTTTATTAGAGATTATTGTTGCTAAACTTTGAAATATTGCTCATACTATTTTTATTTTTTCTTATTTGTGTGGAAGTGTACCTTTTTTGAGTGGCTGCGTCTAGGAGATTCACGTGCCTTCTTAAGTTCACTTGTTGGGCTCTTAAAAAAGTTTCGTGGGAACGATACTTTGCATGAGCCATGATAGCTTGATGGTTGCAGATCTTGATGTAGTTATTCAAAGAGCTAAAAGATCATGAGCTTAGCCTATGTGATTGTATATCATAGTTGTGGCACATGTACATGTTGTAAATCGAGAACATCTCTTGTTAGATATGGCCATTAACAAAAAGGAATTAAGGTTCTGTGTTTTTAATTAGGATATATTACATTAGGTTTTTGGTTCATCCCTTGTGTTCATGTCTTCCAAATGTTTAGATTGATGTATAATGGCCTTTCAAGCAATGTTTTCAATATGGATGAAAAATCAATAAAGGGATATGAGTATTACATTACGTTTTTTATGCATCCCTTGTGTTAATATCTTCCAAATTTTTGGATTGATGTATAATGGCCTATCGGGCAATGTTGTCAATATGGATGGAAAATCATTAAAGGGATATGAGGTCAACTCACCAAGTTAACTTTCACTTTTTGAAGGCTTTACCCTTTTGACCTTTCAAAAACTAATGCCAACGTTCAGGGATGAAATTGATAAATTGAAATTCAAGGATTAAAAGTGGTACTTTCAGGGACTATCGGTGTATAAAACACTAATAAGATGGTAGTGTGTTCATCCTTATGGCCTTCAGTAACTCTAGAATTTTCAGGTGACTTCTATTAACATAATTTTTTGTGGTAGGGAAAATAGCTGTATTTGGTAAGGATGTCTTTTCTCTCAAGTTATCGTGAAAGTTAACTTCAAGAGTGTTGTACAATCACAATAGCATATATGCAACTTATTGGTTATTGCTTGATTTATGTGGTAACCAGTTGAGATCAGGCTACAGCCTTCTTTCCTTAAAAAAGGAAATGGAACATAATCATTTTCTTCCCTTTTCTATGTTCTGGAACTTCTTTGTTTTATACTTTTCTCATCTTTCTTTCTCACTTCATTTCTTGTTTTCGCATGTTGTATATTGTTAATATATCCTGTTGATGTGGTTTATCTATTCTCCAGCCACTAATAAAGCATTTTTATAGATTGTAATGCGATTTATCAGTTTTAGTCTAAATAATGAATCACTTAAGCAAATCATATATAGGACATCAAACTTGAATTTAATCATTGGATTGGGGTATCATAATTAAAGTTGAATTTTGCTACTTAACCATATGAAAATTTTCATTTCCAACTTATGCTTTCATTTATTAGTGTGGTCATTTCTTTCCAATTTAATTGGTTCAACATTGACACCTTTTAGTACCTAAAATTAAAAAGGCCCTTGCATCTTTATTAGAAGCCATTAGTTAGAGTGATTATGTAGATAAATCTGTTAGGAATCTACTTAAGATGCGCAGCGAAAAATTAAAATAGATTTCGATTCCCATCGGGAATCTCCTTGTATTTAGATAGAAATTGTGAAAAAGATCGTACCTTTTTCTAGATCTGCAAACTCATTTGTTTTTCTTGCGTTCCAACGATCTTGATCTGCTTACCACAGCTGTCCAATTGTCCAGTCTCCAACGGTGATCCACACAAAGAACAAAATTGCAGGATTATGATTTTTTCTTGTGCTAGCAAGAATAATGAATTCTCTACAAAATTATAAATTATAATCAGTTATTTATATAAGCCCAAACTAACCTGGTCCAATTTTTAATTAATCCACTTAATTAAATCCGGTCCCCGAACTAATTAATTCAATTAATTAATTCAGACCTATAAATAACCAACACAATTAATCAATTTATCTAACGATTGTTAAATTAATTAATTGATAAATTGTAATATTCCAATTCTCTTTTGTGTGCGACCCATCAAGTTTCCGATCACGATACCTAATGACGTGAAATATTATTTTGATCTAATCAAAATTGATAAATTAAAACACCCTTTTAATTTATCATCATTTCACATTCGTTGTCCCATATGACATCTAGCAATGTATCAGGGAAATACATGTGACGGGAAATGTCACGTGGTATGACAAAATCAAACTCGTTCGTTTACCGTGAAATTATAATCCTTTCGTCAATTTGATCTGATCAATTACGAATCTCGATTATCGATCATATCTTTCACTTCACTATTAAGTCAATATAAGTCGAAAACTCCTTTTTAACTTATGAGTACACATTGGTCAAGAATTTCGTTATCGACTTAATTGAATGAAATGCATATCATAATCTCTTACTATTTAAGAGCGACGAATCCTCTATTGGTCGAAATACCCAAACGATACCGTATTAGCAGCCCTTAACAGAGCAACATCTAACACCGCCAAAGTATGATTGTCCTCATATAAGGTACTATGACGACCTTAAGTCAAAAGACCAATTCCACTACTGAACGTTAGAGATTAACCACCGACACTCAAATAGTTATCCATGTGGAATCTCTAGGCGGGTCTCCAATGTTTTGTTCTATAACAAAACATCCACGTGTTCATTTAAGTGTCACCATACTTTAGCTTGTGAGATTAACTACTTACTTCATAAGTAAGAAATGCCACACGTGATGGTCTATCCATAATAATGATATCCGTATCTCGTTATTACTTACGACCACAATCGATTTAAGATTCAATCATATGTACTTTATATCTCACAACCACAACTCCTTGTGATTAACAAATTACGAAAATTTGAATCTACGGACTCTATTATTTAATTTAATTGTCTATTAATTAAATAATAGATCTGCCATTAAATTGCATTAATTATATATAGAAAGTATTTATATCCAAGATTGATTGGACCTAGGGAATAACACTTGCAAACTCCGACTTGCACTAGATCCAATCATTTATGTATCCAATATCATAAGAGTCTACATGATTATCATGTTTATGCTACGACAACTCTTTGTCTGTGGATCTGCAATATTGTCAAATATAGAAATTTGCTCTTCTCTTTAGTCATTTCTATGTATTATCTCTCTGATGAGATTGTACCGCCTTAATACATGTTTGGATCATTGATGAGACCTTAGTTCCTTCGCTTTCGTGATGACTCTATTGCCATCACAATACAATGGTATGTGATCAACAATATTAGGAACTACTCCAAGTTCATTAATGAATATCTTAATCCACATCACAACTCTTTACTGCTTCTGAAGCAATCATGTATTAGGTTTTCACTATTGAATCAACGATTGTTTCATGTTTGGAACCCTTCCAACACATCCTTTAAGAGTAAACCAATTTTTCCATATAAAATCTTCTCAAGATTTTATATAGAATGGGACAAGTTAAGTAATCTTCTAGATCTATCTTTATAGATCAAGTTGCTTCCTCATATCGTTCATGAAGAAATCATTTAACAACCATTATTTCAACGATTGAAATATAGGGATGCTGTTTCTTACAATATTAGGAATGCGACAATGCTCTCACTATTTTCTTGTAAACACACAATTCGTCTTCATATTTGATAAAATCAAACATTTTGATTTTTCTATCAAATCGAAAATTTCAGCTCCAAGAGATTTGTTTTAACCCATAGTCACGGTATGCAACAAATGCAATCAAAATTAGAATAAACTTTAGCATGGCTGTAGGCAAAAGGTTTCGTCAAGGTCAATACTTAACCTTTTGCTACTAGTTTTGCTTTGTATGTACGGATATTCCCATCTGTTTCGATCTTTTCCTTATAAACCATTTATAACCTATTATCCCATCAGAAGGGTCGACCAAGGTCCAAACCTTATTCACATACGCCGAGTTTATCCCGAGTTTAATGGTCTCTTTTTGTCTCTTTTAAGTCAACACTTGACTTTATTTTTGTGCAATTAATAAGTTCATCATCCTCGATCAGTAATATCTTATTAGTAATCACGGATTCACACCTTCTTGAAGGTCGAATGATCCTACTAGACTCACATAGATCTGACATGTCCTCAGGAGTCTCTACTCCTTGATTAAGAGTATGTCCCATATCAAATATGGGATAAAACTCGAATTCATCTACTTGGTTAACTATATCTGTGGACTCTTGAACTCTTTCGAGTTCTATTTTGCTCCCATTGTCCTCTTTTGGAGTGAATATTTTTTCTAAGAAGACGATATATTGTGAGATGAAAAGTTTCTTCACGATAATAAAATTTATATTCAAATATCTGCTTTGAATATCTCACAAATATATATTTATCAGATTTAGTATCAAACTTTTCCGATTCAAGGCGCTTCAAATAAGCGTCATGGCCCCAAACTTTCATATAAGATAAATTGGGACTATTGCCTTTCCATAGTTAACCAATTTAGATGTGACATAATTTAATGTGTTGCACACTACAATTAGTGCATGACCCCAAAACGATTTTGGGAGATTTGCATGGCTTGTTATTAATAGCACTATATCTAATAGTTAACGGTTCCTCCTTTCAAATACACTACTATGCTACAGTGTATATGGAGTGGTCCACTGCAAGAGAATCTCATTCTCTCTTAGATAATCCAAATTTAATTTTTAAGATATTCCCATCTCGATCAGATCTTAACGTGAATATATCCTTACCTATTTGTTTCTCTATTTTTAGATTGAATCTTTTGAACCTTTCAAGAACTTCATGTTTGAATTTCATCAAGTATACATGATAATTGATGACATAAGAGAAACCTCATCTGACATTAATTGACATAAGTCTATATACATCACTATGTATTATGCAAATATT